AAGATTAAAACAGAATATTAGTAGTTTGTCTTATATGTATTTGTAGTTAAAAACAAACAAACCACAGCTCGTCCATTATTGTGAAGAAGGATATTATGAGAATTCTAAATTTTCTTTCAAAAATAATTTTAATATAAAAATCAAACCAAATCCCTGTGAATGACAGGTTTTTCTATTAATTCATGTAAATAATGCATTCCTCGAGCAATATCAACTCCAACACCAAAACGTAAATTCATTTCAAAAATTCTAAAAATAAATTAAACTTTTAGTTAATTTATTACCTTTTCTGTACATGTAATAACGAGAAAAGTGAGCCTGCTGAGACAAACTAAACAAATAAATTTTAAGGAATATTTTAATGAAAATTTACTTACCTCTGTAATTATAGCAAATTGCTTAAATTAAAAATAATTTTTTCCATCAAAAATTAATCAAAAAAACTTACACTTGGATCCTATAAAAGAATTTATTTTCAATAAAAAATCTAAAAGAAACCTCCATGCAAGCCCCAACAAATGCCACTACATTTGGATGTTTTAAATGAGAAACAATACTAACTTCTCTACAAAACATATCAACCTACACATAAAATTAAAAATAAAATTTTTGAAAAAAATTCCTTCTTTTTACTTCAGTTTTTGCTCCAAAAGCAACAACTTTATAACGTTTAACAGCTACACATTTTCCTCTATAAATACCTCTATAAACTTTACCAAAAGAACCATTTCCTATAGGTTCTTTCAGGTCAATATTTAATAAAGAAAGATGGTGGGTAGAACGTAATTCAGCTCTTAATTGCAAAATTTCTGCTTTTTCTTTTGTCATTGATCGAAGTCTTCCAAGGGGGCTAGGTAAAGGAGTATAAGAACTACTGCCAGAACTAAAAGTTGGAAGCAATAATCTCTAGATTCTGTTAATTATTCACCTGTATTCAGAACAAGCATCAGAATCTGGCCTTTTATTTGCATATACTTTAAGCATGTGAACAACCTTTGGAATTTTTTAAATTTAAATTTAAAAATATTCTTTTTGGACCTGATCATGTCCTTTTTCATATGCCCATAATATGGGTGTTTGTGGTTGGAATTGTCCATCAACAAATTTATCATTATCTTTTTGAATGTCTAATAAAGGCTTAAAATCCTGTGAATGAGTTGAATCAGAACGAATAAGAGAAGAAATCTTTGACGACAAAGAGCCATTTATTGAAGGAAGAATAGCAGAATTACCTTTTTTTAAAAGTAATTAAAATTTAGTAAGTAATAATTACCAAATTTTGCAATAAGTAAATTATCAGAAGCACGTGCTGTTAGTGATTGATCAGCACCATTGTCGAGAAGATACTGAACTACACGTATATGTCCATGATAACAAGCACTATGAAGAGCTTAAACAAAGGATATTAAACAATAATTTGTAATTATTTGGGAAGAAATATACGGTAAAATAGAAATAAAGTACGATAAGGAAGGGAAGGGAGTACTGTATGTTTTTTAAATAAATTAAAACAAAACGCCAAACAATTTTATTTTTGTCAAAAATCAAACGGAATTTGCCTGCAAAAATCTTTTTTTTTAACTTGTTTTAAAGCTTCTGTTTTTTGTTTTAAGTTTTGTAATATTATTCAATTGTTTGTACTTTAATTTCTTTCATTTTTTAGTTCTTTTCTATATTTAAAGTAATTTTTAATAATTAAAATGAATGAATGGTTTCATTGTAATAAATGTTTCTTAGTTGCCAACAATGATTCTCAATTTTGGTTTACATCCTGTGGGCACATAATTTGTGCAGAGTGCAAGAAGAATGGTAATTAAAAAGAAAGTTTTTCTTCTTTTTAAATTTCTCAAATTAAGGAAATTTATTGTTGGGTCAAAAAGGGATTTGTGTTGTTTGTTCAAAACAAGAAACTTCAATTATGATGGTTAACAAAAATATGAAGCCAGATCTTATTCATCTTTTTCGGCCACCAAAAGATCTTTTACTTGAATTTACTTCAAAAATGAAGATGACAATAGACTTTCAAAATGCCCATCGTCAGCGTTTCTTTAAGCATATTCGTGAAAAGGTTTAAAATTGGTTTTTCTAGTTTTTAAAAAGAATTTAAGTACAATAAAGCGGCAAAAATAGCAAAAGCTGCTCATGTGGAAATCACCAAACGGGTTGAACGTGAAAAGAATCTTTTGGCTGAGAGAAATCAAGTAAGGATGGAATTGGATAGCACGAAGGATTATGTCAGGCAATTGGAAAAAGTTTTGGCAGATCGTGATCAGGAAATTCATCGTCTTAAACGAAAAAGTCCAAGTTTTGTCAAAAGAACCAGTCCGCATTTAAAAGGTTTTTTTGAAGTTTTTTGATATTGTTAATTAAATACAGGTCGAGCAGGCTATCCAAGTTTGAATGGAAACACACCGCTATCCCGAGTTTCTTTCTTTGGGTGTACAACAAGCACTCCAAATGACGTAAAAACAATTTAGGGGTTTTTTAAATAAAATTTTAAATTTAGTTTGCGAATATTGCTGCTGGTTGTCTTGACAATAGAAGGAGGAATAATGTGGGGGGAAATGCTGGAACTGCTGGGGAATTTGATTTTTTGTCACAGCAAAGAGCGATGGAAGAGGTTGTGGCTGGAGGGCCTTCTTTTATTCCAAACACTCCTGCACTTTTGGGTTTACCTGCTGACACGAGGTTTTGTTTTTTTAATAAAGTGCATTTTAAACGATTTTAAATATAAGTTATTCAAATTATAAACCGTAATGAGGTCAGGATCTGATTCTTATTCACGGCTTTCCTTGGAAATACCAGGACTAGACTTTGATCATAAATTTTCGATTTCCTGTTTTAGTCGCAATTCTTTCTTAAAATTACAATCTCTAACTTAAAATGCCTCTTAAAATTATTTGGAAAAAATATTCATCTATTTTTTTTATTTAGACGATCACCAACTTACACACCAAAGTTTTTTTGAATGCCTTATTGTCAATAAAGAATATACAAAAATGATGGAAATAATTGAAGGATTATGTGCCCACTTGGATGTTTACCAAAAAAATGTTTAGATTTTATTTACAAATCTTTTTTCTGTTGATTAGATCGGTGATTTTTCTATTGTTTTTAAATATTGCTTTAATTATATATTTAATTTAAAATAAAATTTCGTTGCGCCGAAGATGCGAAATATTGACTTGAACTCAGCAAGCAAATTTTTTTAGGATTTTTAAATGCTGTAAGCGAAAAATTTTCATTCTTTGGTCATTGTTCCAATATTTTCAACTTTTCGTTTCACGGAGCTATAAACTCCTCCTTTTAGTAAATTCTCCGTAAAGAGAATTTCTCTCCTTCACTTGATTCTTTCCATGCACAATTTTCCCAAAAAATTTCTCAATTTTCCTACCAGTATGTCCGTCTTGTGCCTGATGGTTTGGGTCCACTTCTGGTTGTCGCATTAGAAAACAAACTAATTCAAACCTTCCAGCTGTGCATGCAGCCATTAAAGGCGTTTCAGAAAATAAATTTTCCTTCAAAAAATTCATCTTAATTAATTCAAATAATTTTACCATGCTAAGAACTTCACTTCCAATTGTATTTAATAATTGTTTAGCTGCATCTGTTCTTCCCATATAACAAGCAGAATGTAAAGCAGTGTCTCCGTAAATATTTGTTTTAAGAGCAAATTGTCTTTTAATCTCTTCCTTTTCCCCTGCTTTTGATAATAAAAGACCGATTGAAGAACTATGGCCTGTTTTGGCAGCAAAATGGAGGGAAGTATTCCCTTCATCGTCTTCAAGTGTTGGATCGGCTCCAACAGCTAAGAATGCCTTAAAATGAATTGGAAATTGTATTATCTCCGTAGATTTTTATTTAATAATTTTTTTGATTAACCCCTTATTAAATCTAAAAATATCCCAAAAAGTATTGTTTAAACCTTCAATATGCAGGGATTTGCCTTTCCAGCCGAAATATGGATCTGGGAATTAATTTATAAATATTATTTTTTAAATATTTATTAACTGGTCTATCATGCACACTTCCACAAGCATTTGGATCGGCTCCAGCCTTTTTTAATTTAATTAAAAAAAATTTTTTTTTTAATCTTTTACAGCTATTAATTCTTTAACAGCCATTTCATGCCCAAAATATGCAGCACAATGTAAAGCTGTATAACGAACAAAATCATAAGCCTTTAGGTCAGCACCGTGGGAAACGAGGATTTCAATTAACTAAATATGAGGGAAGGGGGATTTTCTTGTGAATTTTAGTGAAAAATGAAAATTTTTATAAAAATTTAAGAAAGTTTTCTTCTCTTTAACCTCCGCATTTCCAGTCATTGCAGCCAAATGCAAAGGTGGAGGAACCCCTGATGGTTGGACACCATTTGGATCAGCCCCAGAAGCTAATAAAGTAATTGCAGCCTCTTTTTCTCCTTTATAAATAGCTATATGTAGAGGAGTATAACCATTTTTTGTTCGTTGTTCCAAAAATGATTTTCTTCTTTTAATTATTTTTTGATTAACTGAATTGTTTGTTGTTATCTCATTATTATTATTAAAGCGCTCAACAAGAATACGAATTTTTTCTGACTGTTTACTTATTAATAAACATCCAAATTTTTTCTTTTACCTGTTCACAAGCCCCAATACAAATTAAATGTAAAAGAGATAATTCATTTACACCTATTTTCTCATCCGCAACACATTCTAGTTGATCTAACTGTGAGGAAAATTCTTCTGATGTGCCCTGACTGTTTGAAAGAATTTTTTAAAATAAATCTATTTTAAGGCTAGAACAATAATTCCAAATTAGAGTAAAGAATAATTATTTTATTAATTCCCCCCCCCCCTCCTATTACTTTTTATTAATTAAAATTTTTCTTGTAAGAAAAAATTAAATACACGCAATTGAAGTAAAGTGTTGTGTGAGCATCAAATTTAGGTTTAATATCATCATTTAGTTTAGAACGTACAATTGCATATCCTTCACTTATACGTTTTTTAAGTTCATCTAATTATATTTTTATTTAAAATTAATTTTAATTTGTTTACCCGCACAGGAAAGTTGAGGTCTGGATTTGTAATTTCCCATACAAATAAATAATTAACGACAAAAACTTCAAAAACTTTAAGCGATTGAGATTTACTGATAGGACAAGAAAGAAAAAAAGAAGTGATTTTTCTTTTACATTTTTCGATCTAATCGATTTGGAGACCCTTTTAGCTTAAATCCTCTTTTGCTTTAATAGATAGCAATGATATATTGAGGACAAAAACTTAAATTGATCCTTTCTCTTAATTTTTGGGGATATATGTAATTTTTATAAAATATTTTTTTAATTTTTTTATTTAACTACAATGTTTTGATCAAAGAAAATAATTAATTTAATTTAGTTTTGGCTACTTTCAAATAATTATAAGTAGATACTGATTGCCTTCTGTGAATATTTTATTTTTTCATTTATTTTTTATTTTCCCTTCAATACCAATTTATTATAACTTATAAAAAGCAATAAAAAAAGCTGACGAAATCCTTCTTTTAACTAAAAAAAGCATAACAGCATTACATACTTTGTCTACATATATTTGTTTTTTTATTTGTTTGGCTATTTTAAATGAAGAAAGTAAACCTCCTCCCCCCTCTTCTTGGGGTATTTCATCTTTTTTTCTTTTAAATAAAAAAATCCCCAAAGGGCCTCTTCTTCTACATTCTGTTGCACCAACGGAAAGAATCAGAGATTTTTCTTGACATTTTTTCGGTTTTTTTCCTTTTACGCCAAAGATGTTTTGTATCTCTCTTTCCTGTCCACGTTGAAGAATAAAAATAAAATATAAATCCGCCTTTTATGGATTTTTGGATGTATAAATGACACAAAATTTGTAAGAAAAGATTACATGAAAACTTAAAAGGAAGAGATATTTTAAGGGTTTTTCTTCTCTTTTTTTCATTCCCTTTCTTTATTTCTTAAATTTGCTAGACTATAAAAATTGTTTTTGTTTAAAAATTGAGACAATCCAAAAATATTTTAATTAAAAAATAATTAAAACTAAAAAAAGAATTTTGATTTTATTTTAATTTAATAATTGGCATAACATTAGTTTTCGGTTTTGAGTTCTGTTTAAATTCTGGTTTTAGTGGGAAAATTTCTTAAAATTGACTCGTTTTCAAAAATTTTAGGGTTTCTTTTTTTTATTTCATAAAAACTGTTAATTTTTGTCAAGAAATATCAAAATTTTTGGGTTTAAACCGGCAGTTTCCTAATACATAATAATATTTATTAATAATAATATTAATAATTATTATTACTAAATTGGAATTTTGTTTTTTTAATTGTTACTTCTATTTTAGACATTCTTTTTCCTTTTTTATAAAATAAAAATAAATTTATTTTCAAGATATTTTTTGAAATAAATTATATTTTTTGTTTTAAAAATTATTTTTGTCTCTCAATGCTTTTCCCTTTATTTTTGTTTTATTCTTGTCAACATTTCTAGTAATGGTAGGGCGAAGACATAGACGTTCAAAAGTTCAACATGTTATTAATTTGCTCAAACGAATTATTGCCTTTCTTTTTTCACATGTTGGATTATGTGCTTTGGTTTATATTTATTTATTTAAATATATACCCTTAATTATAATATATCTTGACTTATAAAACTCTTGACAAGTGGCATCACTAAAAAAAATTTTTACCATGCGTTTAGTCAGCTCTCTTTTTTCCGGATCAAGTCTTATTAAGATTATAGGTCGATAACTGTGAAAAGCAATGATTTCTTGCACTTATCTAGCTGTAAACTTGATCCATCCAGTTGTGAAAAATATATCGCTTATCGATGGCTTTCGAATGATATAATAAACACTCAGATAGGTTCAAGCATAAAAAGGTTATAGCCGATCAAATTCGGAAAAAATAGAGTGCAGGAATATAAATATAAATTTAAAAAAAATAAATTGTTAATTAATTTAAATTCAAAACTCTTAATTTAAATTAATTTCCTACCTAATATAAACAAAAAATTAGAAGCTAAATAATTTATTTTTAAGGTGATTGGGTACGCACTTTTAGGTGCTGTAGTCTTTCGTGCAATTGAAGGACCCCATGAGGTATTTAAAAAAAACATTTTTTTATTTCTTTTAATTAGCGTTATATTCAAAACGAGGTTACAACTGCAAGGAATAAAGCCGTTCAAGTTGCTTGGGGTAGAAAATTAAAAATATTTTTTAATTAAAAAATTCAAATTAGAAGCAACATTTCGAGTAAATAAATTAGATAAACGTAAATGGGAGGATACAGTTTATGCCCAAACAAAACAATTTCAACGTCGTTGTATGTGGTCAATTAGGCGTGGATATGATGGAAAAGAATTTGGATTAGCTGCGCAATGGACATTTACTGGATCTTTTCTTTATTCTTTAACAGTTTAGAATTTCATTTAAATTATTCTTTCTCCCTAAAATTTTTAAATTGAATTTTTGGTTCTGACAATCTCTTTCCTTTCCCTCTTATTTTAATTCAAATAAAAATTAAAATAAAGGTAATAACAACAATTGGATACGGAAATACATCAGCCAAAACATATTTTGGAAAAACATTAACAATACTTTTTGCTATAATTGGAATTCCTTTAATGCTTTTATTTCTTACGAATATTGGGGATGTTATGGCTAAAATATTTAGGTGTTTTTTGAATTAAAATTAATTGAATAATTAATTAAAAAAAGATTTTTATATGCTCGTTCAATTCGTCTAAAATATAATTTAATTTTATGGCATAAACGTAGAAGAGCTGCAAAAATTCGTAGAGCAAATTCTTTGGTTGCTAGACTAACTAGGGCTAATCAACCTTGTTTGTTGTTTTTTTTAATTTTATTGTTTTAAATAAGTTGATTTTTTGGTTGAATTTTAAAAAAAGTTTGGGTAAATATAAAATATAGTTACCGCATATGCTTAAATAATAACTCTCTCTCTCAATAATTACCCCCCCCCCCCCCCCCAACTAGCAGAGGTGGATCGGAATTCCGATTTCCGAAAAAATTTGATTTCCGATTTCCGACACCTCTGAATGTTCCGACCCACCTCTACCATCTAGCAAGAGATTGAAACAATATTTACACAGGATAATTATTCGAGCATATACGTAGCTATATTACCGGAATAGAAACTTCATGAATAAAGTCTTATTTAAGATTTAAATATTTTAAATTAATTCTTATCTACTTATTAATATCGAGGGATTTTTCTTTAACAGATATAAATCATCTCCGTTTACAACAACATCAAAGAGATGATTGTTCATTAGAATCTATAGGTGGACCACCAATATCCGGACCTCCAAACGGTAATGCTGTACATTTAGCTGCTGTAGATGTTAATGAAGTAATTAATTTAGAAAAATAAAAATATTTTTTTATTTTAAAGCTTTTGGCTGCTAGAGCACATTTAGATCAATTAGAAATTAAAGAAAATGTCGAAGCACAATTACAACGAATTTCTGTAAACTTTTAAAATTTAAATTAAATTTTATTTTTCAATTCCTTAGTTTCGAATTTTCATTTTTTAGATCCCCCAAAAAATCTAAAATTACTCCTATAAACTTTTTGAACCCAGAATGGATAGTCGAATTAATTTCTTGTAGTTCTAGGTCTAAAACAATTATTTTAGTTATTCATGTTACTATTATTTAGTATCAATAGTTTTCCTAAAATTTTACAAAAAATATAATTATCAATTTTTATTAAATTTGGGCAAAGTATGCTATCCTGTACATTATTATTTTCAATTTTAAAGGTTCCTCTTTCACTCGTTTTATTAACAATGTTAGCTTATTTGGTGACTGGTTCAATTCTTTTTTGTTTATGGGAAGAATGGACATTTTTAGATAGTTTTTATTTTTGTTATGTTTCTTTAACAACAATCGGTTTTGGAGATAAATTCCCCGGAGGGTCTGTTGGTAGCAATAAAGAAGCACAAGAAAAATTAGTAATTACCTCAATATATTTACTTGCCGGAATGGCTTTATTGGCTATGTGCTTTAATTTAGCCCAAGAAGAAGTTGTTAATAAAGTTGTAAGGAATTTAGAAAATATTCTCTTTAATTTAAATAATTTCCAGGCTTGGTTAGCAAATAAATTCAAAACTAGAGATGATGAATATGATTGAAAATAATTGCTAAATGCTTTTTAATTTTAAGAAAAGACTCAGGGCTCCTCTAATTTTTTTAATTTTATAGTAAATTATTAGAAAATATTTCTTTTTTAACTTCATTCCAAAAAAATTATTTGAAAATTCCATCCATTTAAACCCAATTATTTTTTGGTACTTATTTGTTATCTCTCCCCTCATTTTCGTTTTTCCCAACTGGATGGATCAAATTTGATCACTAATAAATGGAATCATTGTTTTCCACACTTATCGACTTGTAACTTTTTTATAAGTAATCAGATTTGATCCATCCAGTTTTCGAATGATATAAGATTCATTCTGATTAGATTAAGGATAGAAAAGTTAAAGCTGATCAAATACGGAAAAAAACAAAAAAAAAAGGGGGGAGATAACAGACAAGTACCTATCTTTTTAATAACTGTGTATGTATAAATTCTTATTTGTTTAAAATATATTTTTTATTTTTGTTAAATAATGTATAAAAATATTTTTTTCAAAAACTTCTAAAAAAATTTAATTTTATTTTAAAAAAATATTAAAAACAATAAAATAAATTTAAATTTTATTTTCCACCATTTATTCAGTCATATAATGATACCTAAAAAAATTAATTTAAAAAAATTTCTTTAAAATAGTAATTCTTACCAATAAAAAACATTAAAAAGAGCAAATAAAGCAGGAAATAAAAGTGCCGAATATCTATCTATTTTTAACGCTAATTGTTCTTTTCTTGAACGATTTAATATTTTATTTTTATTTAAGGAATCTCCCCCGTCTTCATCTTCTTCTTTAATATTTTCTTTTAATTGAGGTATTATTAATTGATCATCATTAGAAAATAAAGAATTATCCATTCCTTGGGGGGAATAAAAAGGTAAAATTAATTGTTGTTGTTGTTTTTGGTGTTCTTTTAATAAATTTCCATTTATCCATCCATAACCTGGGGGAATATAACCATAATCATTTGTTCTAGCTAAGAGAGCTGCTGTTTCGTCTTCGTTTATAGGTAAAGGTGGTTGTTGTGGTTGGGGCATTCTTCTCCTAATTTTAATATATTTTTTGGAATTATTTAATGAATAAATTAAAATAAAAGGAATGAAAAGGGATATTTTTTGTTAATTTAGTTGCCACAATTTTACTTATAAATTAAGTTTATTTTTCTTTTGAAGTTTATTTTGCTTAAGCGGGTGGAGGGAGATGGTACAAAACATTATGTTATTTTATCCATTCCTTGGGGTGAATAAGAAGGAGAAATATATATTCTATACTATATACAGTAAAGCAGCTGGGCTAAGCTATTTCTCTCCTTTAGCTAGTGCAAAAGGTTAATCGGCGGCTGGGAGCGAACCAGCATCTTCAGTAGACCGGACTGATGTGTTAGCCATTACACCACGCCGCCTACTGCACAGCCTTAGGAAATTAATAGCTATATGCTTTACAATACTAATATTTCTATACTAAACACTAAGCTAGAAATCTAAAAAACTTTAATTGCATACCTAAGAGAATTAATATTTTCTTCTTTTCTAGCTTCACTTTCTTCAAAAGGTATTTGCCAATTTTGTGTAGAAACAGTTTTTAATTGTTGTTGAGCAGCAGTAGTTGATGCTGTATCTTTTTCAGTTTTTTTACTACTTTCCCCTTCTTTTCTACTTAAATAACCAACCCAAGCTAATTCAAGTAAAGAAAAAAACACAAAAGTCATACAAGAAAGAAGCCAAATATCTTTTTTTAATTTTTAATTTTCAGATAATATTCTCTCTGAAATTTACCTATAGCCTTTACATAACTGACTTTAGGCAAATTTCTAATAATATTGCCAAATTGAAATGTCATAGCCAATAATGAATTTACTCCTAACATTGTACGTGCAGGAATGGCCTTTTTAAAAATTAAATTTAAAATTTAATTTCCACAACATACTTGAGTACCGAGAACAAAAGAAATCCATGCTTTATAAATATTTAAAATTATTTTATTAAAAAATTTTAATTCTTACAGATAAAAATAGTTAAATAAGTTGGCAAGTAGGCTTGAAGTATATACCTTTAAACACAAAAATTTTAATTTTTACACAAATAATTCACTGTTTAATTGTGAATGGTTATCAATATATTTGTGTTAAAAACATCGGGATCAGGGCTGGACGCAATTACGGACTGCGTAAAATTGTGGTTTTTTTCCGGACTGCGGATTGCGGCTGCGTAAAATTTTTTTCAGTTGCGTCCAGCCCTGATCGGAAAAAACTTAATTTAATTTCCAATCCCAAAATAATTTTCTAAAACTAACCAGCCAGCCCTTCGCTTAAAGTGAAATCGCATAGTTAATTCATGCCAATAACCAGCTGGATAAGGCTTTAAATTAATTGTTTAATCGAAAATTTATTTTAATTAATAGACCACAGTTTGGCGGTCGGGAATTATATCAATGAGCAAATAATCAGCTAATTCTATATGATCTCTCATTTTGGCAACTCCAACACTTTAAATTAAAATATTTTTTTTTCTAAAAATATTTCATTTTTACCTAGACCAAAACATTTCAACTTCATCAGTATTATAATTAAATGATTCAAAAGTTAGAGCACAAGTAACGTTATCAAAAGGAAATCGAGTAAGATCCATTTCACAAGGTCCTTGTAATTTTAGACGGTAATTAGTCCAAACTGACCCGTTGGCATAAATGAGAAGAAAAATATTGGGAAATGGTGAGCGATGAATATCAGCAGTTTTTGAATTGATAAAACACTTAAATAATTTTTTAATATTCAGTAAATTTTGGAAATAAAAATGAGAATGGGAAATGATACAGTATAAGAGAAAAATACAGTTTAAGAGAAAAATCCTAAAGAATTTAATATCAATATTCAGAGATATGTACATATACCTACTTCCTTTTTTTAACTATAAAAAGGCAAAAATCTTTAATTAAATTAAATCTTCAATATTTTCTTTTGGTCGGTCTTCTTTTGCTTCAAACTTTTCGTCTTCTCGGTAATTTATAATTTTTTAATCACAAAAAATAAATTTATTTTTAAGGTAAAAATGGAGGAAGGAGCTTCCAATGACCATGCGGATAATGGGCATATGTCTGATGATGATGAAAACAAAGAAATGCTAAAGATGGCACTCTCAAGTTATCATCCGTTGAAAGGAGAGGAAGAAGCTCCTCCATTGTTTTGTCCAAAATGTAAAGTTCTTTTAACTTTCAACGAGTCTTTAATTCAGTCTTTAATTTCTCGAAAAACTGATAAGAAATAATTTAAAAATTTCAAATTTTCAGCTTCAATTGAGCGAGACTTTCCTCCGTTAACGACTGAGGCAAGAATTCAATTACGTCAAAGGAAGCACGATATTCTTGGAAAATACATGGCTGCGCAAAAGTTGAAGGAAAAGAAAAAGGAAATGAAAGAAAAGGACAAAGCTAAAGAAGACGATAGTAAGGACAAAAAAGAAGAAAAGAAGAATGATGAAGGTAAAATATAAAATGATCAACATATTAAAAAAAAGATTTCCTTTAAATTTTAGATCACAGTTAAATATGCGGGAAAGAATGTGGAAATTGGTATATGTATTTGGTTGTGGTGATTATATGATGTTAATTAAGAAAAAAAGAAAAAGGGGAGAAGGAGATTTTGTTTTTCTCGATATATAATTTGTAGGTATATGTAAATATATGTAAATATGTATATTTTTGTTAAATAATTTTTTTGTGTAAATGTTTGTTGAAATAAAAAATAATTTTTACCGAATTTGGAGTCCAAAGCTTTTCTAAAAGGATGCTGTTCAGTGATAAACTAAAGAAAAATAAATTTTAAAAAATAAAGATTTCTTAAATAAAAAATGTTTTTTTATCCAAAAATTTATTTTTTATAAAGTTTTTTGGGGGAAAATAATTCAATTACAAACTTATATTTGCAAGGTTCCATCCAAGAATAATCCAAAGCTTGATCCTTAAAAAATATTTTTAAAATTAAAATTTTATAAAAAGTACCCTCCACATTTCGCTGATATAAATGTCTAACTAAAGAAAATAATTTTTTAATTTTAAATAGTAAAAAATGTTAATTATTAACTAGCCTGGAAATCTGATGTTATATCTAAAAATAAAAATAATATCTATAAATATGTCTAAAAATAACCAGAAATTGTTGTAATTTCCTGCACCCAAACCTAAAAAATATTTTAGAATTATTTTTAAATAATTTTATGTTAATTTCAAAAAGATTGGAGGAGCTTTTAAGGATTAATTCCATTAAGTTAAGCAAAAATATATTTAATAATTGTTAATAAAATGAACTATTAGAATAGTATATAACCGGAAACATTAACCATTAAATCGTACAAAAAAAAGTTTGAAATAAGCCTATTTTTAAGCTCAATATTTTGAACCTAAAAATATTCATTTACACATTTTCTAAAATTTTATGACTCAATATCCTTAAAAAAGTGTATAACCAAATAAAATACCTCAACCATAACTTCAACTTTTCCACCAGGAATTTTATGTCTATTATAATTAATAAGTAATTTATCAAGAATATAGGAATCATTTGCACATATTTGTTGTTGATTATTATTTATTTTAATTTCTAATTTTTCTTCATTTTCTTGTTTAATTTGGCGAAGAAATCTTTGATTTTGTGTTATTGGGATTACTGGCCTAAATGATCCAAATTCGTCTACTTCCCAATCATAGAGACGTGAAAGTCGGCGAAGATGACGAGAATTTCGACGAAAAAAGGCTTTTCTGTAAATAAATATTTAAAATAATTATTCGGAAAAAAGAGTAGGAGAAGGTAAAGATTTATAGAAGAGAGAGAGAAAATATGGAAAGAGGAAGTTAGTATCACCCCCGATAATTCAGTTAGTAAAGCATCTAAAATGATGTTTAATAAAATCTGGCAATTATTCAAAGTTACAGATTCGATTACTGCTTGAAGCTCTTTTGAAGCTTGAAGCTCTTTTCGAGAGCTTCAAGAAGCTCTTTTCTATTTTTTTTATTTTACGAAAAATTTAAAATAAAATATTAAATTTTAATAAAATTAAAGTATAATTTAAATTCTCAAAAATTTTACTTATTAAAATTAATATATTTTTACATAAATTTTGACTAAATTGTATTTGCTTTTTAACAATTTATTAAATAAAATTGAATTTTGCATCAAAAAGTCAAAAAAAAGGAGGTAAAAAGAGAAAAAAAGATGATGTCAACACAAATTTATTTTTTAAGCAAATTTAAAAACATTTTAAATAAACTTTATTTTTTATTTTTTCTTTCTATTTTTCCCTTTTTAATTGTTGCATTTTTTTGTTTAATTAATATTTTTTTTAATTTCTAAAAATTATTTTTTTAAAAAGAAAAATATTAATTAAAAGCCTATTTGTCCATATATTTTTTAAATAAAAATCATAATCAAAAATTCCTTATTTCCAATTTTGTTTGTTTAGGGAGGACAAAAGCATCTTTACACATTTTTCTATATTTTTTATTTTCGTCATTTTAGCAAAAAATCCCAAAGGATATTTTCAACTACTGCCAATTTTCACATTTTTTGTTTGTGCCGTTTTTCTTGAATATATTCCCCCCAGTTTGTTAAAAAAAAGAGAAAATGTTTTTGATTGGAAGCAAAATTGCATTTGCATTGGGGAAAATAAAAAGCGGGGAAAAGGAAGCAAAAATTGAAAAAAAGAAGAATAATTTTTAGGCATTAATATTTAGCCAAAAGAAGTTTAACAAAATTTGATAAAATTTATTGAAAAATATTTAAAATAAACGTCATAAATATTTTAAAATTTAAAAAGTGATTATTATACATATTTATTTATTTACTGAAAGGATTTAGTAGACAGAACTTTGGACTTGAATAAATTTTAATTTGTATTTGGAAGGAAAAAATAAAAATATAATAATTAATTTAAAAATATTTTGAAATAGAAATCTTTAAAGGTAAAACTTAAAGATAATTAAAATGTTGGAATTTGTAAGTAATTGAAATGGAGAAAGAGAAAGTCAGAAATACACGAGAGATCATTAAGAAATTTAATAATTTTAAAAAACATGAGAATTTTAAATTAATAAAAAAATTGGGAATCTAGTAAGCTAATATTTATTTTTAAATTTATTTTTATTTTCTAGAAATAAAAAACTACCTTTCTGCTGAGCACTGACTTTCTATTAGAAGAAGGTTAAGAAAACAGAAAAGAATAAATAGGTGGAAAAGTGCCGCAAACTGCACAAAGGCTCTGGGTTCGGCCATCCATTCGGGATGGTAGTTAAAATTTGAAAATAATCTTTCAACTAAAATAATTGGAAATAATTTTTAAAAAACTTTAAAAAATGTTTGAAATAAATTTTAAAGAAATTCTTCTCAAAAATGTGAAAGAGAATTGTTACAAAATGTATGATATCCTGTTCACTTTCATAGGACGAATTAATAAATATATTTTTAAAGTCAAATCTGGCAACTAAAAGAATTTATCCTCCTCCTCTATTTGCCCATTCAAAAATTTTTGATGGAAGAAGACAAAGGCTGTCAACCGGGAAATGCTCAACCATTTCCTTTTTCAAGCTTAAATGATGGGCAAGAAAAAGAAAATATTCTGGAAGATGAAGAAGAAAATAAAAGAAAGGCAATACCAAAAAATAAATGTATAAATATATACAAATATCGTTTCCCCCGACTGGATGCTTTCACTTTCCCCATTTAAGGGTATTTTATCCTGCGCCCTAAGCTTGTTCTCAGCCAGCCAAGAACCCACAATTGTGGAGTGCAAAAGAACTAAAAGGGAAGAAAATAAGTGGAAAAAGAAGCTGAAAAAGGAGGAGCAACAAACAAGTGAACAATCATGCAAACAAGCTAACAATAACAAGAAGAGAATTTTACAACCTTTTACTTATTGTTAGGCAATACTGCCTACCAAATAAATAAAAAGGAAAAGGATTTTTAAAATGCATAAAAGAAGCTGCGATTTATGGAATTACAACATAATTTACATTAATACTTTAATATGTAAATATTTGCAGTACTGCTAAAAATAATTAAAATTCTAGCCCGAAAATCAACTTTTCCAGATAAATATGTGTATGATTTAACTTTCGTCAATCCTTCCTTTTACTTTATCCTTCCTTTTACTTTATTCAAAGGAAGGATATTCGGATCAAATAAAAACTATATGACAGAGAATTAGATAATGAACAACTAAGTATAATCAAGAATTTCCTAAGTGCCCACACTTTTCTTGTATACAAAGTCGATTCCAATCAAAAGTTCGTACCACCTTAGGTGAGCACCTTGTGTGACAGCTTCAGAGGATCTTCTCCTAACTCTTCATTTTTTATGTAAATTGTGCTTTATTGAACTTGTGGAGCTTGAGTCCTAGATCATTTAAAGTCATTATACAAATCAGTACTCATGTCAAACGAGTTTCCCTGACACTTTTTCTCATCGAAATACGTGGATTGCGGTTGTACTCGGAATTTGACCATGAAGCATTTTAACACATTTCTAATGTTTAATGACGAATTGTCCGTTGACGATGCAAATATTGACGAAAAGTCCTTATTTAAAAATTTGTAAATAGAATGCCAAGATACGGTAAACTCTGCTTCTTTTCTTTTGTTATCTTCACTCAATTCGCCTTTTCAATTTGTCCATTGAGAGGAAATTTGACAAAATGTCATTGTAAAAAATACCATCCCATGTAAAATTAAACCATTCATTTTTCCTTTTTTCTAGACTTTTTTTATTCCTTTTTCTTCCTGTTTCTTGAATATTCCTTTTCCTTAAATATAGAATAAACTTTTTTTCAGGTTAAAAACTTTATTTTAATATTACATTCGATATGTCAATTGCCCGTATCTTCTCTCGCTCAATTCGTCCTATTATGGGATTAAGACAGGCGTCTACTGATATCTCTCAACTTTTTGAACAATCGGAGCAACCAAAAGGGCAACCTGTATATCAGGATGATATGGAGAGTAATCAGCAGTCTGGTGGGTATGGAAGTGCTTATCCTCAGCCACAACGTCGTATGAACAAAGGGTTTTTTACATTTAAGTTATTTTTTAAATGAATGATTGAAGGGTTAATCGAGTCGAATTGCTTGGTGGAGTTGCTGGCGATCCTGTTTACAAGGTTACGCAGAGAGGCAGCGAATTCGCTTCGTTCAATCTTTACACTAATGTTGATCGCAAATTGGCTAATGGCAATATTGTGACCAACACTGAGGTTCATAACGTTGTTGCTTTCGGTGGTGTTGCTAAATATATACAACAGAATCTTCATCGAGGTTTTAGTTTAATTTCCTTTCTTAACATATTTTGTGTTCTAGGTTCACGTGTATATATCACTGGTCGTCTTCATTATAATGGTGGTATGCTTCTCGCGGATGGGACTCGTACACCGCGAATGGCTTCAATTAATGTTGAAAATGTTTATCCATTAGCGCGTTCTATTCGTCGTGATTCTGCTGCTCAGGAAGAATATCAGCAAGCTAACGATACTGAAGTTTAAGTAATTTGTTGGATGGCCATTTGATTTTAAGATAATTTAGTTGATCATCGCCTATTATTTGATCGTTATTCATTGTTACGAATTTGATTTTTGAAAAATAATTGAAATTGTCTATTTTTTCATTTAACTTCTGTTAATTCAGATATATTGATTGAGTCAGTTATGTAATTAAAACTTTAATTTTTGTAAGGAAACAATGACAGCGATTGCGTTTCATAAGTTTTTATTCAGATCAAGGCACACATACCAAACGTTAGTATTTTAAATTTTGGGGGTAGATTTCTCAATTAACTTTGTTTCTTACGTCAGCTCAATTCAGTTTGAGTGAGTGTTTTAACCTGATTCGTCTTCCCTCTCCTTTTGGCCGATTATTTTAAAGACAATTCTAGTTTCTCACGTTTCAGTGCTTCACGATTCTTGTCAAATGATAATACACCTGATGACAAACCACAAGGTTGGATATCAAGGATCTTGACTGGACCACGAGAGAATGCAATTGGTCGGCAGGCACAGAGTCATTCCTCTCTTTTGTCTGTCGGTGACGCCATTTACGAAATGCAAAGTTTAATTCTCTGACGATCAACCAATTTTTCTTTTAGCACATGACGTCATTGGAGGCAATCGGGAGCTGTACGTACAATCATACAAAAAGGTTCACTTTCTTCAGGCTGTTGTGTGAGCTCTTCGTTTAGTATGCAGCCGAAGTGACTGGTGCGACTCCTGGTGCAATGCTGTTTGGTTCTTGGTTTGTTATTTTTGGCAATCAGAATCAAGTTGTCAATCTGTGGCGTTTTGAGAAAGGTTATGCTGATTTGGACAGGTTTTGAGATTCACAACTATTTTGAGTTATTCAACCCATTTAAGTCATATTAAATCATTGCAAAGTAATCCTGCGTTAAAAGCTAGCGAGCTTGAATATGCCCGCTTATGCGGTCGGCGCCGAACAGTCATTACGAAGCCTTTTAGCTATTGGGGAGAGCCAAAAGAGCGAACTACTCCTCATATTTATGATCTTCGGAGTTATGTTTTGAAGGTTTATAATTTATAAATATCAGAATACTTTCTAAAATTTCAGCCTGGTACAATGATTGAATGGGGGAATGCTTGGGCTAAAGGAATAACTTATCGCCGCGAATTTAATCAAGATGTTGCGTTCTTTAAATTTTTGTTTTTAATAAAATTTTAGGTTGGAGGTTTCTTTTCGCAAGTTGGTCAGCTATATTTAGTTTTTCACATTTGGGCATATCCTTCTTTGGTATGTTTTTAGTTTCTGTCGTTTAATTTCTGCCTGATTGTTCTCCCTTTCCTTAAACTAAACCTAAAAATATTTACATGTATCTGGCTCTCGGTTATAGGGAGTAGAGCGATGGGGACTGTTTAATTTGTATTTTAATCTCAGTTTTCATTATTCGGTAATTCATATTTCTCAAAAATTTATTTAAGGTTGATCGTAACACAACCAGACAAATGACTTGGAGTAAGCCTGGATGGGACTCTACTGTTGAATACACTGTTCCGTTGATTAAAAAGATGCAATCTAGAATTCTTGTGCCTAATGAGCTATCGAAATTGAAATAAATATTTAAAGAATAAAAATATAGTACAATGTAATTTGTATTTTAGTTTATCTTTTCTGGTCTTTTTGTTAGTAAAAGTAGGTGCTATTAATTGTGGCATAAATTGATTATCTATTTTGTTTATAAATCTTTATTCTTGTTTTATTTACAATCAAATATTTCTAAAATTTTTAATTTCCTTCTTCCCCGGACGAAATTCATAATTTTTAATATTTCTGTTCATTAAACAAAATTTTATTTTTTAGAAATGGCTAATCCTTTCTATTCTGAAGAAGATCAACTCAAAGAAAATAGCAGGTCTGGGTTGGGTGAGTTAACTTATGATTTACTATTTCTGATTGATTTTTTAGATCCGGTAAAAAGTTATACCGGGGGTTCAAGCAACAATGTTGAAGATCAGATAGCTGACTATGAGCGTGAAGTTGAGAAGTATTTACAAATGTCAGTGGATAGCACACAGCGTTCTGTTATGCAGTTAGACTCATCTGATAAAATGGCAGAATCGACAGCTAGGGTTGGTTTTACAAAGATATTTGATCATATTGTTGGGTTATTTTTTGATTAATACTCTTTAGAATTTGTTGGAGCAACGAGAGAAGTTGGAGCGTGCCGAAAAAAATCTGGATGAAATTCATACTACGACACAATACACACAACGAAGCCTTAATAGGTAATTTTTCAATAAGACTAGATGCCATGTATGTATATTCACTGCTCTAGCTAGGGTAATTGACTCAAAAAATGTCAGATTTCCATAACCTTCCCCAATTTTGTATTTCTCGATTTTTTTACGATTTTGTTTTTGCTTTTTTCGCTATAATGAGATATTACGTGCCATTAAAATCATTCCTCTTTAGCCTTAAATCTTTGTTCGGTGGAATGTTCAAGAATAAATTCTCACGCTTGCCAAAGGAGAAGCCGAAGGATGGAGTTCAACAGGTTATTTTTAAATTGCTGTATTTTTATTTTATTTTTAGAACTCGTTTACTTCGTCAAAGTCGGCAGATCAACTTAGCAAAATTGTTAACAGTGATATCTCTTCTGGTTCAACCTCCGTTAACAATTCCAAATCAACTACCCTGAGTGCCTGTGGCCCTTCACTTAGTGAATCATCTCGTGCTCAAATTCAAGGGACTCGTTGGGAAGCTATGGACAACCAAGTTGATCAAAACCTTGGTATCTTGATTATCTGTATACCAAGGGCGTAGCCAGGGGGAAGCTTCCCAATTTTCCTAAAATGGGGAAAATGAAGAAATTTTGGGAGGTAAATTATCAAAAAAGTGAATTTTTCGTCTAGCATCCACAAAATTTCACCTGCGGCGCTGAAAAAAGATATATTTACAAAAAATTTATTATTTTATTTCCTAACTACAAAAAAAATTATTTTCTATCATTTTAGATCAAATGAGTGCTCAACTTGCTCGTCTTCGAATGTGGGGTTCAGCGCTTGGTGATGAAGTGGATGATCAGAATCGTATGCTTGATCGTATTCATACCAAAACTGAACGTAATGACGCTGTTGTTCGTAGTCAGGAGGGACAGATGCGAAAATTATTGGGTTGAGACTAATCTTCGATGATCAAATTTATTGTAAGACGTAATTGATTTGAATTAAATATATGTATGACGTTTTGGATGTTCTATTGAATATAAATATATCAAAGACTAACAATGCCACATTTTAATTTAATTTTATAAATATATTTCCTTTTTGAATTTTTAACCGAAATGATCGTTAACGTTATTAACATACTTTTTTCTTTGAATTTTTGTTACTTTATTCTGAAGGGATATTGTCGTTGCTGGGAGACAGCCTGATACGGGTTGATATAGAAATTAGGTAATTATTCTTTACATTTCATTCCTAATTTTTAAATAGTGGAATGTCTGCCGAGAAACGCAAAAGAAAACGTTCTTCCTTTGAAGAGGACCTTTCTTCAAATATAATGGATGAATATTGGAAAGTTAGAAAACAATATGAGCGAAAAATTGCTGTTCAAGGGCTGGTGGGGTGTAGAATTGATGAAAGTTTTTATTTTTCAGAAGGCATTTGAATCGTCCAGAAAGATATCTCCTCAGATGGCCAACTTCAATTTTGTTCCTCTTCAAATTCCAGAGTATAACCAAGTAAAGGACAATCAATCTACCATTCTTCGCCGTGCAGAAACGGGATCACTTGTTAACAAATGTCCTGTCATTCCGCTTGAACATGTTGAATCAACTCCGCCAATGCAATATTGGACACATACAGAGGCTAATGTAATTGTGAGTATATTAAAATATTTGGATGAATTTGGAATTTTCCTATTTTCGTCTCCGTTATATGCTAACATTTTATGCTTATTTTTCCTTTCTCTTACATAAATATTGCGACTGACGGTTATTTTACTTTGACCTTATTCGCTTGATATTTTTACTATTTCCATTACGCCTTTATGGCAAATAAAAATAACTGATCAAGTCTAATGGTCGACAATTTTTATGGTAATTTAGTTACTATGTTTCCTGTTTTTCAAATATTCTATTTTAATCATTTACATTGTTTTTTTGACCAGTTGTAATATTTAGAGAGAAAGTAAAATATTGGCAGATGACGGAGAAGTACCCTCATTGTTCTTAATATATTTAGGCCGAGGACGAATACACGCTTTCACATATCCCATTTCTTGGAGATTCTGTTGATGACACTTCTTTTTGTCTTGATCTAATGAAAACATTCCCGGAAGGCATTCATGGCACTAAAGATGGCTGCGGAGAATACATTAACGACTTTATTCTATATTACACAGTTAAGGCAGTAAAAGCAAAGCTTAAAGATACTGGTAGAAGTTTCTAATTAACTTTAAATCTTTTTTTTTACAGATTTGAAATCCATTTTCAAGTATGTTTACCAGTGTTTTCCAAATAAGGCGTCTAAACATGAATTACTTACAATGTAAGGATTATTTTTAAAAGATTCAAATTATTAAATTTTGAAACGGATGTCTCGTTTTCCATTTGGGAAAATTATAATATTCTTTCTAATTTAGGTATCCAGATTTGCAACAACGCTTTGAACCAGAGACGATTACTCGCCAAGAATTCACGAATGAAGAGGGTGAATTGGTCGCCAACTTTTCTTCTAATCGTTTGTTAAACAGTTATGAAGTATTGCTTTGTCATAAATGTTTTGCTTATGATTGTATTATGCATAATGGTTGAGTTAATTTGAGTTAAAAATTAAAAATAAATTATTTTATAGCCACAATTGCCGATGGTTATGGGGGTGGAAATAGAACGCGTAAACGCAATGCTTTTTCAGAAAGGAATAAATCTAAGAAAAATACTGAAGTTCCAAGGCCTTGTTCTCTTCAATGTTATATGACTGTTGAGAGAGTTAAATCTCCTCTTTCAAATCAAAAGGTTTTTTTCATAAAATATCAAAATTATTTTCCTTAATTTATAGGACAATACCTCAAAACGTAATAATTTATACATCGATGTTAAAGGCAATGAGAATACCAAAAATGTTTGGACACCACATGAAGAATCTATTTTTGCTATTCTTCGAAAAACTGGTGAAGATGATTTTTGTAAAATAACAAAGTAAAAATTTTGGTTTTTTTCGAAAACAATTTTTATTTTTTAGAATGTTAAATGTTTGTACAAATTTGTCAAATAAAAAAACTTGTATTGAAATTTATGAATATGCTGCTCGAGCTGGGCCATTATCGCCTCGTTTAGAACTTGCGACATCTCCAATAAAGAACTCGAAGTATTTTTTTTTAATTTTTTAAAGGGAAAGTTACTCGTCTAATTTATCTCAAATAAAGGTACCGAAAAAATCGCGATTCTCATCGGACTTTTCGTGCCATGAAATGGGCAAATACAAATGGAAAAGTAGAAAATGGAGGTATGTTTAAGCCTTGCCAACACAAAGGAGATTGTCGAGAGGAGCATGGATGTTACTGTATTCGAGTTAATAATCTTTGTACTAAATATTGTGGATGTTCTGATGAATGCGAAAATCGTTTTCCTGGATGTCGTTGTGCTCCAGGAAATTGTAGAACAAAACAGGTATTTTATTCTTATAAAATTAAACTAGACCTCTCTCTTCTTTTTATTTATTGTTCCATTACTAAAGTTTGTATAATTTCTTTTTTAAGTGTCAATGTTATTATGCAAGTTGGGAATGTGACCCAGATGTTTGTACATCTTGTAATTGTGGTAATCTTCAATTCTTAAAATTATTTCAATAAATTTTTTAAGACAAACTTAGTTCTTCTGGAGAGCCTATATGTAAAAATGTTTCGATTCAACGTGGTCTTCAAAAACGTTTAATTGTTGCGCCTTCACAAGTAGCTGGTTGGGGTTGTTTTGCGAATGAGGATATCGAGAAAAACGATTTTGTGTCTGAATATTGTGGCGAAGTTATAAGTCAGGCAGAAAGTGAAAGACGTGGAAAAATCTATGATCGAATCAAATGTAGTTATTTATTTGGTAAGAAGGATATTTTTTGATAAAAAATTATTTGAAAATAAGGCCTTTGAAATTTTTTGGAAAGGTATATGTACATCTAGATCTAATTGCTTTATCTAAGGGCGTATCCAGGGTGCTAAAGCCCCCCTTTCTCCCCAAAAGAGGTAAAAATTGGAAGAAGGATGGTCTGAAAGTGAGACCGACCCCCTGGATACGCCCATGGTTTTTTCAAGGGATGCGCATTTACTTAATTTCTTTTAAATTTAGGTTTGAATGATGAACAAGTAGTTGATGCAACTCGTGTTGGGAATGTTATTCGTTTTGCTAATCATTCAAAAAATCCAAATTGTCGTGCAAGAGTTGTTGTAGTTAATGGAGATCACAAAATTGGTATTTTTGCCCAACAGTCAATAAAATGTGGGGAAGAATTATTCTTTGATTATGGTAAAGTGTTAAAGAATTTTTTTAATAAAATTTCTTCTTTTTTAAGCATATAATAAAATTCAACAAGTAGAATTTGTTCCAAAAGAATTAAAAAGTATTGTTAAACATAGAGAAAGGCAGGCCGGTCGTTCTGTCGGTAGACATTCTGCAATAAGGGATGATTCTATTTGAAATGTGAGTGAATTTTTTGGAGAAATTTATTGAAGTTTTTGTTGTATTTTTGAATATATCTCATTTACATAATGCTTTCAAATTTCTTTTAAAATTTTGAATTGATATTTTTGCAATTATTTATAGATGGGTATGTTCGCGGATATTTAATAATCAAGTTAGAACATTGGATATTTGGATTGGAATTCCTTTGTAATCTTGATTTACTTTTTAAAAACTCAAAAATCCGCGTTCATCTCAGACATTATACTGACTTTCAATTCTTTAATCTTTCATAGATCAATTATGCTTAAAACTCTCAATTTTTGTTTCGATCTTTCATTTTCTGACAAACAATTTTTAAATTTTTTGAATTTATAAAGGTGTATATTTATGTTTAATTTTTTTTCAAAATTTGTTTGTTTTTACAATAAAAACATTAAAAATTAGTTACAGATGTGTGTTTTAGCCTTGTTTTCCTTCTAAATCGATCAATCTTTGCGCAGTCCCTTCTCAAAAACAATTTTTCATTCATATTTTTTGTCCATTTTATTTACGCGACAAGCTTTTTTTGCTTATGTATGGTCTGTAAACCCTCCCTCTTAATGAAAAAACAAGAACCTTTTAAGCAATTAATGTGTGACGATTGTTTTGTTTATATGTAATTAATTGTAAATTTTAATAAGACTAATTGAGGCCAAATAACACTTTCAAAAAAATTTTAAAAATTATTAAGATTATTATGTCAAAATTAAGTTTATTTTTAATTTTTTCTCAATGTCTTTTACTTGTATTGAGTCAAGAACAAAGTAAGTAGTGTTTAATTTTGAATTTCTTTTTTAAGTTTAAAATTTTCAAATAGTTTCTGATTTTGATGTGATTGATAAAAATGCTGATGGTTTAGTTTCTTATGGAGAGTTTCAGAGTTGGCATAGAATTGCTTTGGGCGCTGAGCCTAAGCAGAGTGCTGGTTTGGAAATTTTTTTTTGGAAATTTTGAAGAATAACAGATTACACCAAATATAAACATTCTCCCATCCCTACAATATCCAATCCCTCAACCACTATTCATAATTTCCATTTTAGAGGATTTACTGAGACAAATATAATATGTATTTCAGTTTTCTTCGGCACTCACGATTTGGACAAAGATGGAAGATTATCTGTGGCTGAATGTAACAAATAATATTTTCATACTTTTATCAAAAAATATTTTTAGTCGTTCCTCTTGCATTTGAATTAAGCCGAAAACCTGTAAAAGAAGCAGGAAAAGTTTTTCAGAAATTCGATTCAAATTCTGATGGATTTTTAAGTGTTGATGAACTAAAGAAAGAGAAAATTTCTGACGGAATAATTGATGGTCTTTTGGATGTTGCTGATGTGGATGGTAATGGAAATATTTCAGAAAAGGAATTTTCAAATGTTGCAGATTCTTTTGAAAGTCATCTATCGAGAGTAAAAATATTTTTAAAAATATCATTATAATCCAAAAGTGGTATTAAAAAATATGTAGGTTGTCGAAAGTGCAGGTCAAGCTCAATCATTAATGGCAGCCCTAGATTTGGATGGAGATGGAAAAATTAATTCGAAAGAATTAATAGCACATAAACGAAAATTTGGAGTAAAAGTAAAAAATATTTTTTGAATTAAAACAAAATTATTTTAAGAAAGAAAATAAGGACAGTAATGAGACTGTTGAATTAGCAATTAAACAATTGGATATTGACAGAGATGGATATATTTCTTTTGAAGAATTAAAACAATTACCTGAAGTTGTTATGAAAGCAGCAGGAATTCAACCAGAAATTCCTTCTTAAAAATTTTTCTTTTAAAGAAATTATTGTCTATATATAATTGTTTTAGATTTTTTGTAGATAAAAAAAATATAAAGTACGACATTTGAAAAATGCCGGATTCGGTTTCCGTATTTCAAAATTTTTTTAGCCGGACAGGATTTTCCGGAAATTGCAGATTTTGTATCCTAACTTTTTTAAGCATCGTATCAATCCAATAAAAAAATCGCTTGAAACAGATAGTGCTTCAGGTCGCAACACTAGTCATTATGTTAGCTACTATAGTTAGTGGTGACCGGTAAAATAGATTTTTCCAGACCCGGATCAGGCTGTCCGCAGTTGAAAAAAATTTTCCGCAGCCGCAATTTTAATGTTAAGATCTGCAAATGCAATCCACAACTCAAAATTACTATTCTTAGAGGTTCTCATTCTCGATTTTGGCCATGGGTGTAATCTTTAACTTTTTGAACATTTTAGAAATTACTTTAGTTAGGGTAAAAGTCAGACTGCGCAATTTTTTCAGATTTAGGGTAAAAAGGAATTATCTCGGGATTCTTTTTGTGATACATAGTAGTACTTCTACAATAAATTTACTCATTAAGTAGCTTGAGCCCTGTTTTTAGCATCATATCAATCCAATAAAAAATCGCTTGAAACAGATCGTGCTTCAGGTCGCAACACTAGTTTGCACCCTAAATTTCAATTTTGATATTTCTCTTATTTTCAATAGATATCGAAGTCTTTCAAAAATTTTCATAATAAAATTTTAATTTTTAAGCGAATGAACAAAAAATACTCAAAACAATTATTTATATCAAAAACGAAAAATATACAAACAGCAAATTTGTGACAAAATATAGGTACATATATAGGGAAATTAGAAAATACATTACAACTGAATAGGAAGGAGCAATCACTTTTATTATCGGGACGACAATGGAGATAACTATCACTACATCACTATATCTTACAGCATCAACTAACCCGCCGGCTGGAACACTTGGAACGAGCAGCGCAAGTTCTCGTCAATGAACATAGTTGCGCCGGCGTTGTTATACTGGGCGGCGTAGTGTGGCGCACTGAAGAGCGTGATGAGCTTCCTGTTTGCGAAGAACTCTGCACCGTCTTGCACAACCTGAAAAAGAATTAAATGTATTTACTGCAATAATTGTCGACTGTTAATAGTAGTACCTGATGAGCACGCACGACCAAGTCAATGTCCAATTGTCGGCAAATACGAGCGACAACGTCTTCGCCAAACATGACACTTGCACCCCGCGGACTTCTCACACAGCCTTGAACACCATTTTCCGGATCGGCCCAGAGCAAGTCGAGCTCAATTGTTGGGTTTGCCGCGTCGAAGTCAGGCACTGGACGACGGAGAGAGCGCAACTGGTCCAAACTTCGCAGACGATCCGAGATTCCGCCGTGCATACCTAAAGAATAAATTTAGGGAATGCCTTTTCCCAATTATATGTTTACTTACATAGGACCCTCCCGCCAACCAAAGCAGTGAACGGCAGCCAAGCGAACGCCTTGTTGAATGCTATCCAGAGCGATTGAGTGTCGTGTGGGAATCGTCGGCGGATCTCCTCGAGGAACCCATAGACACGGTTGATGTTGCTACATTCATGGTTGCCGCGCAACAGGAAGAAATTTGCCGGGTATCTTGTCTTGTAGGCCAGAAGCAGGACAGCTGTCTCGATGCTTTGACGGCCGCGGTCGACGTAATCTGCGAAAATTTGTTAGAAAGTTTAATAAAGAAGTGGTTGGTCCTTTACCTCCGAGAAAGAGGAAGTTCTTCAGCGGTGGAAAGCCAACTCGAGAGAAGATGCGCATCAAGTCAGAAAACTGTCCGTGGATGTCACCGCATACGACCACTGGCGGATCGATCTCCACAAGAGACGGCTGAACACGAAGAACTTCAATGGCGCTGTTGCACAGAGCTTTGATGTCATTTGCGGTGACCTTAAAAAATTGGAAATTATTTATTGCCTGCAAAAGTTTAAAAGGATAACAAAACCGACCAGTTGCGTGAAGCGCTGCGAGTTCGTTAGCAAAATGCGCTCGATGAGACCATCCACCTCCGCCAAGGTCAGCTTCGGTTGTGCCATTATTGTTGTGAAGTCTGGAGTGCAAAGGCCAAGTTGAGAAGAGCAGCTGTCGACGTAACAATTGGATCTAGTTGTCGAAGGGTTGCCAGTATTGAAAATTCATCTGTTTTTATAGTAGCTTTTGTGATATTATACTTTTTCTGATTTGCCTATATAATTTAGATAATTTAAAAAATAATTATTTTTATGCATCCTAGTTTATTTTTTAGTGAGATGTATCTACAATACGCGCTAAAGGCTTTTCAAATTTACAATTGTTATTACTGATCTTATTACTGATCTTCAGTAAATAAAATACTAATTAATTTTCAAAAAATATTTATTTAAAAATAAAAAATAAATTTTTCATTTAAATATAAAAATTTCCAGCAATACTGTATCAATAATCTAAATATTTTTCACGTGATATTAAAATTAAAATACAAAATACATATAAATTCTAATTAATTTAAAGTCCCAATCTAAAATTTATAACAAAATAATATTCTCTGAATTGGGACTTTTTAAATTTTAATTTTAAGTAATAAAAAGTGGAAGAAAAATAAAAAAAAGGGGAGCACAGAATTTTGAAGAAAGTTGGTGGCACTTTGAAAATTAAAAAGAAATATTCAAGGCAGTAAATTAATTATTTTTTGAATTTAAAAAAGAAATGAATGGCTTAATAGAATATTTAATTGAGAAAAAAAAATAAATTTGCTTATAAAATGAATGACAAATTAAAAATAATTTTTGTATGAATACGTGTCAGACAAGAAAATAATAGAAAATATTTTTTTTTGAATTTCACTTTTTTTCAAGTGAAAAGATAATCTAATAGAAGTATTTTGTGTGAAAGATAAAAATTATTGCCCTCTGAATAATTCTCATCCAAACTAAAAATTAATTTTTTTTTGTTTATTTCTCCAAGATCTGAAGAGTTAAAGATTTTCCTATTGTCAGAGAGCAATTCTATTTTGAAAGGAAAAAACATTTGATCCCATAAAACAAAATCATTTAATTCTTTTAAATATATTTTTATATCCTCTCATTTTGGTGGCAACCCACTTTCGTGTTTCACACTAACTTGGCTAACATCTCTACTTCTAATAAATATATAATTTATTTAAACTTAATTTAATTATTACCTAAGTTCTCCATTATTAGGAGTTCCAAAACCCCCTCCTCCCCCTCCATCTAATTTTCTATCAGAATGTGCTTTAACCTCACGTTCATAGGTTTCATAACCTCCAGGTATTTCCCTGTGATGATGTTGTTTTTCATACATATTCCCACTTGGTATTCTCATTAGACGTGCATCACGAAATTCATTTTCTAATCTTGCCATATCTTCATCGTACCTTAAAATTAAAAAAAATTTTCGTGGAATTCTTTATTTTAATTAGAATTAAGGAGTGTATTAGAGGAATTAAATTTGAAGATTGATATATAGGGAAAATGGGCTGTTAGGCATTTCTTCCTTACTCTGTTTTCTGGGGAAGCTGATATAGAAAAACATAAACAGGAGTGAAAGATTTGAGCTAAAGGAAAAAAGTGTAGGAGATTCCTCAATAAATTTCCATTTAAGATTAACAAAAAAAATTTTTACCCTCTACTTCCAAAAACACTTCGACCACGCCCCTCCTCTCCCCAATCAGCAAAAGAACGTGCTTTTGTCAGTTGCCCGCCACAAAATTCGTCGATGGCATGTCGACGATGTGATGGAGGTTCTGGAGGAACTGACCACTCTGAACGGCGATCTATCGAAGGAGGAAATTCAATGAATGGCTCTCGATGTTGATAAAAAGAGTGGCGACTGCCTGTATCTGCCCCTTCATCATGATGGTAAACATCTCTAGTAGAGTGTGCTTTATGGACACGATGATGCTTTAATTATTAAAATTTAGATAGTAGAATGTTCTCCATCAGAGATTATTTTTAAAAAATACTTTTAAAGTCCCAGTTCCATTAATTTTTAATTCCCCATTTGGCATATATTTTGCATCTCCACGACGAAGACTATCAGTCACCGAACCATAACGTGCATGTCCATTCTGTGCAGCAAAATGTCGTTCAGAATCAAAACCTCCACTTCGTCTACCTCCACCCTCATAACTAATAGGTAAATGACGTTCTCCAAAACCATCAGAATAACCGTTGGCATAACCACTTCGACGTGAAGCTGATCTGCTTCGATATCCTCCTAAATGTTTTTATTTAAATTAAGTCAATTGTACACCCCATTAAAAGGGTATTTTTAGTTTTAAAAATTTAAATAAAATTTCTCTTATTTCTTTACCTCCACCACCACTTCCCCATCCTCCTCCTCTTCCACCCCAAGATCCATAATGATAATCATGACCGCCACTAGCCACACCACTGCTATGATATCCACGATGAACACGACGACTTTTATGACGACGTTCCCGACGAACAACACGACGTTCAACTTCCTCTGTTCGTTTCTTTTCTTCTATTCGGTGAACTGTGTGTTTAGTTGTTGGGGCCTTTTTAAAAGTTTTGGATCAGAAAAAAATTATTCTTTCGATACCTTAATTACTTCTCTTCTAACAACTTCTCTACGTTGAATTGGTGCTGGAGGAGATACTCTAACTACGCTTCGTTCCTAAAAAGAATAATTAAAAATAATTTTGGATGATTTTTGAAATTATATATTGAAAATAAAGGAGAATTATAAGTGTTAATTTAAAATAAAATTAAATTGTGTGCAGAAGAGAAATAAAAAATTAAGTTTAGATTAAAAGACAAGCTTGTGAAGAATATATTGATCTCGAGATTTGATAAATAAATGAATGCAAAAGCCCAAAATGCAGTAATGTTAGAATGTGGCTTTAAGGTAAATACAAAGCGATGATGTTTAGGCAGTCGGATATCAGAAGCTTTTCAAGGAATTTGAAGATTTTGAGTTGTGATCTCCCAAGATCTGACAAATCTGGTGAAAGTGAAGCTCTTGGATAATGAGATCCAAGGACTTTAAGTGCTGTTTTGTAATTCACAAAGTGCTGTGTTGTGATACTTCAAGCAGAATACTTGATTAAATTAATGTGCAATTACGTGTATATATTTCCAACACCTTTGTGCATTTAATAATTTTGTGATTGCTATTTTGTGCCGATATATTTAAGTGCTGCATTTATTCCACCTCAAATAAATGATGTTTATTTTGACGTGAAGATGAAGAATTTTTATTTTTATTATTAGATGAGGACAAAATTTTAAGTAATTGTTGTCCTTCTCCTCCAAAATTATTTTTCTTTTTTATTCCATTTAAAGAAATTAATGTTGAACGAGGTGTTGAAGATAAATTTATACAATTATTAAATTGCCAATTTGGAGAAGAAATATCCTTTAAAATTTTTAATTTTAAATTTAAATATTACTTTAAATAAACTAACAGTTAAACAACTTTCTGAAGAAGTTGCTGAACATTCTAATGATTCACGAAATTGTGGACGAAAATGTTTTTGTTGTTGATTATTATAATCCTTTATTTTATTTTTCAAAAATTTGAATTTTTGAGGATTAAATTAAAGAGATAGAGAGTAAAAGAGAAAGAAAAAAGAAAGACAAAAATTAATGAAAATAATTTTAAAATATGTAGTTTTACGTTAATTTTCTGGATATTTTTAATTAATAAAATTTAAATTAAAAATTACCGCTCGAGGTATTGGACGAGCCTAAATTGAACAAAAATATATTTGTTACTAAAAATTTTTTTAAATTTTATTTGCAGCAAAACAAAAAAAGCAAAGAAAAAAATAAAAAACCCAAAAGTTTTTAAAAAAAAACTACTTAATTGTTGTTTGATTAGAGTAATTATTGACAAGGCAAGAAAGCAAAGGCAAGAAAAAATTAAAGCATAAATTTAAATAAAAAGTAATTTTAAGTAATAAGCATTCGGCATAATTCGTGGCATAAACTGAAAATAAAATAATTTCAAAATTAAATTTAAAATCTTTCATTTACCGCGTTTATTCTCTTATTTTTTCCTTCAACTTCTAGATGTATAACGTCTATGTTCAACAGTTCTTTCAGAATGATAACTTTGTATTTCCCCACTATCAGTACTTGAAGGTAATATTTGACTCCTTTCTCCTCCTCCTCTTTCTTCATTCAAAATTAACTGCTTTTTCCTTTTTTCTTCTTGAGGAGGAATTATTTTCTTATGACTTTTTTCATTAAACATTCCTCTCCCATTTCCTTCAAGTTTTTGTTTTTGGGTAGAAAATGTGTTTGGCACAAATTTGGCGCAAAGAGGTTCATGAATTTGTTTATGGGATTTAGCTGCATTCTGAACAACTTCAGCCATTTGGCGAGTATGTCGTGGGGGTATTTGGGGTCTTTCTTGAGACATTTGATCAGAACTTTGCTAAAAAAATTCCGAATTATTTTCAATCTTTTTTATTTTTCTCAACTCTAATGCCCGAAGGTAAAGCCGTAGGAATATATCTTCTTGCCCTAGCATAACTAGCTGGTGCTGGGCTTGGGGCTGTTGCTCTTTGTATCCTTTCTAAACTGCGCTGAGCTGAAGGAGAACGAGCAGCAGAGGAACCACTTCTAGCATGTGAAACAGCACTTCGACTTCTTTGATGGTTTGTTTGCTGCTGGCGAGCCTCGAGTAGTTTAATGCGGCGACGAACTTCTACTCGTGGTAGTGGACCTAATTGAACAATGGTAGAGGAATGACGAGGAAGTTGGCGATTATATTGATATTGTGAAGACGAAGCTCCTCCATTCATATCATCATTAGTTAAATATTCTCTTTCTAAAATATTAGATAATTTTTGATTTTAAAGAGAGAAAATTTTATAAAAAATTAAAATAACCAGTTGGTTCTTTTGATTTCATATCACTTGTATGCCGTCGAAGTCCTCCTCCAGTTTCACCTTTTTGAGCTTTTCCTTCCGCTCTAGAAACTCGAATAACATTTGGAGCATGAGGCATAAAACCTCCAGCAGGCGGTTTTCGTATATGGGAGAATTCAGTCCTTGGTCGATGCGATCCATCAGGAGAAGCAAGAATGATACCTGCAGTTTGTCGCCTAGCTACATCGTCGAGTGGACCCGTACCTAAAAAATATTTTTGAGGAGACAATTAAAAGGAGTTTGTCTTAATTAAGGAGACAATTGGAGATTATAAACTTTATTTATTTGTTATTCATTCAACTAACAAATTTCCTATTAAAGCAATCGAAAATTCAACTCATTTTACAAATTCTCAATACAATAAACATCACCAAAACATCAACAAATGTTTAACAAACAAATTTTATCTTTATTTGTTGTTCTCCTTGTAATCCTTGTCAATTTTGAAAACGTCTACAATGCTGCAATTTCTCAAACAAATAAAGGTCAACAAAAAAGGGAAAAATTGTCTAATCATCAAAACGACTACAAAAGGTGATAAAGCTTTCTAAATATCTCCAACTTTTAATTTTCAATTATATATAGGTATATGAAGGGAAATATTCAACAAAAGACCTGGTTGGGAAAATTGAATTGGTCAGGGATTTCTATCGGTGTTGGAATTTACCTTATAATGTGAGTTTTGGTTGTTTTAAAGGAAGATTTGCCAGAATTTGGAGTAAATAAAAAAAATTTCATTTCTTTTTTAGTACTTTCATATTGTACTTGATCAGCCGCTTCTTCTATCGAAAAAGAAAAAAACAAGAAAAGGAATTGGCATTGCTTGATAAAGTAATTGGCTCTGCAACAGAAGAAGACAAAAAGAAGAAATACGAAGAAGGAGGGAAGAAGAGGAGAGAAGAGGAGGAAAGGAAGAAGAGGGAAGCTAAAAGGAAGAGGAAAGGCCCAACTTCACTTCAAATGGATTCTTCCTCTATTTTTGAAGGAAAAGAAATTAATACAGCCATTGAAATGAACAAGGACGAGGATATGGAGGAGAGAAAATTCCTTAAGGAATGGCAGGTGAGAAAAGGAATGAGGGAGGGGATATTTTTAAGAAAAATTAATTTTAGATAAAAGTAAAAGAAGAATTGATGAAGAGCCTGAAAGACTACGAGGATCCATTTAAAACTATGCGAAATGAGGCTAGTCAAGTGGTCAGTTCTCTTAAATTCCTCAAAATACTTTTCTAAATTTAGAGTTCAATGGACAGCTTAGTATTGTCAGATTCTTCACTTGCATCAACAACTCAATCATTTTCATCGGCGGCTAAAGAAAAAGAAGCAACAAAAGAGGAAACAACGACAACTACTAGTCAAAGTAATAATCAAAGTGACGGTACTAGTGTGGATGAAAGAAGTTATTCTTCTACTGAATCAGAATCTTCAGAGGCACTTTCTCCAGAAAACGATAAAGATTGAGAGAGAAAATGAACATTTTGAGAGAATTCCAATTAGGGGTAATAAAGATAATAAATTTGTTTGTGTATATTTTTTGTTGTATTAAAATCCATTCTTATATTTTTAAAAGAGGATGATTAAAAGTATTGTTTAAAGAAATTATTTAGTAATTTTAATCTTTTAAGTACAATTCATTTAAAACTAACCATGTCCTCTTATTGGTGGGGATTCAGGTTCTGGTGTAAAACGTTTAGTTTCTTTCTTAAAAGCAGGTTCTCTAATTAAAGGTGCCCAACGATACTCCTCAGCATCTCCTCCAGTTTGAACAGAAAGTGGTTGTTGTGTTGAAGTGGAAGAAGTTGGCCACTTAAATGGTTGTTCTAATGGGGGTTGCCAACGTCTACCGAGCCTTTGAATTTCTGGTGGATGTTCTGGTTTTTCGATGAAAGATTCTCTTCTCTATTAAAAATTTTAATTTTTAAAGGCTCGAAGTCCAAGTTTAAAATTACCTTCAATAAGTCAATATTGAATCTTTCTCTAATTAATCTTTCGTCGCTTGTTAGAATTTCATTTCGTTCATCAATAGTTAATCCACGTGAAAGTCTCGAATCTAAAGTAAATGTCCTCCTCCAAGTTCCTCTATTTGATTGCCCATTTGTTGCAAATTCTGGAGAAGTTGAAGATTCTTCTGCAGATATTGGACGTGTTTCAAATACTCGAACATTTTTTTGAGTTTGTTGATGTTGTTGATAATCATCATAATCAGGTAGAGGATGTGAAGGAGGAGAAGGAAAATAGTTTGAAGTAGAAGTAGAGGGAACTCTAATATGATTTTGTTGTTGTTGTTGAAGTTGTAATGCACGGAACTTTAAAAAGAATTTTTAATTGAAAATATTAAAAACTTAAGGGAAGGAAATGTTATTCCAACAAGTTACAGAACATCAAGTTTCTAAGTATTTAGGGGATCTTCCCTTCAAGTAATTTTACAAAATAATCAAAAATCTCTCTACCTGCCTATCCCTTAATTCAGCTTCTCGTTGCATCCGAAGAGCTTCTGCTTCTTTCTGCATTTGTTCTTGTCTAAGAAATTCTTCTAATCGTTCAGGATCTCTTAAATTTTTTGGTGGTGGAGGTGCTTGCTTTGGAAGGCGGCTCTTTGGGTCAGGTGCTGGCCAATAAACAACTCTTCCTCCACTTGCTTCATCAAACTCTTCTTCCTCAGGATTATTGAAAGGAGATTGTTGTTCATATATTTGTGATGAAGACTGACGTGGAGTCCATCCTTGAGGGGGAGGTGGTGGTGGAGCTATTTAATTACAAGAATATTTAAAGTAACAAACAGGCAGACATTTTGAGAATTGCCTCAAAATATTTTGGGGAGTTTTTTCAAAATATTCTTCTAATAATAATTAATTAATTAAACTACCAGGTATTTTCCCTCCACTAGTTGAAGTCCCTGGAACATTATTCCCAACTTCCTCCAATCGAAAAAAAGGTCCATCAAAAGGTACAGTTGGATAACGTCGAGGACTTTGATGTTTTCTATGTATCTCTAAATTTTTCTGCATTTGTTGAATTAAAGCTAAACGTTGTTTATCTAAATCAAAACTAATTTCTCCTCTATCTTCCCAACTTTCTCCATCAGGTTCAGTGCCGACATGATGCAGAGAGTAACTACTATTCCCTATTTGTTGTTTTGGACTAGAAGATGTTTGAGGTGTTTGTTTAAGGCAAGATTTTGTTGGTTGCTGAAGAAAAAAAAATTTAATAAAAAATCGTGTCGGGTTACAAGATTTTTAAAAGCTTTCGTGGCTAAGTTTAGGATTAAGAGGAGAAAGTAATCCTGAAAACGATAACGGGATACATCTGATTGATATGCCGAGTATCTATATTAATTAGCTTAATTAAAAAACTTTTCAAAGAATAAGGAGTATCAAACATTTTTATGGTAGAAAGGGAGGGACCATTCTCAAATAAAATATTTAAAAAACAATTTCAATACCCCAGTAGGTGTTTCAATTCCTCTCCAAGGCTGTTGCCCCCCTCCTCCTTCTCCTTGTTCCATCTTTTTATTTTTTTGTAAAGCTTCTTCTTTAATATTAAACCGCCACTCGCAAATATCAGCACCGTCTTCGTCTGCAACTAAAAACAAATTGCGACGCCAAATAGGGGATTTACTGTCTTCTTTTGGAAATTGTTGATCGTCAGAGAATATCTAAAATTATTTTAATTAATATTTTCTTTAAAAATTCTTTTGGAAAGGGAAAGGGAATTAAACTTCATACAGTCCCCACACCTTTTCTCTCTCATTAATTTCACTCAATTTATTTTCATCATCCCTAGAAGGTAAATATTCTAGATATTTAATTGTTTTTGTTTTTAATTCTTCTTTTCCTTCTTTCTTTTTATTTTTCCAAAAATCCTCCCCCACCATTTGTTCAATTTTTGTTGATTTTGGGATTAATTTTGGAATATTTAAACGATCATCTTCAGAAAAGAAATAAGAACAAGTACTTGAAGATTGAATTATATTTTGATTATTTAAATGAATTTGGGTAGAATTGACCGATTGAGAGGGGTGGACAGAACGAATAATATTTAAGGGAAGTAAAGGCATTTTTATATAAAAATAGTAAAAAAGAAAATAAAGAAAGGATGACAAATAAAGGATAAAGGAAGATGAATCAGAAAATGATTTTTATGAAAACGAGAGGATTATTTTTGTAGGGATTGTTTGTGATAATAAACAAAGGACGATAAAAAATATAAAAATTAATAATTAATTTGTTTATTAAGATAAAATTTAAAAAAGATATTTTTTAAAGGGTTCATTCAATCCCTAGTTTAACTAAAATAAAATTTCCTAAAAGGAACTTCTGCGATTTTCTGATCCTCGAATGTTTTTCTAATTAAAAAGATGGGAAAAAAGAATAGGTATACACATATATTTATTTATTTTATCTGTAATATATTTTTGTTTGTTTTGGTTTGTACAGGCTGGCCATTTTTTGTAAATAAAAAGAAAAATATGGATTTAACTAAAAAAATATTATTTTCCTTTTGTTTGGTTAATCTACATATTTATATAGAGAAGGAAAGATATTTTACTATAAAAAAGAATCGGTATTTATTTTTGTTTGGATTGTAGATGAATCTTGAGGGATTTTTTTAGTTTAGTAAAAGTACTTTTATATATTTAAAAAAGAAGATTTAAAACTTAAAAATATTCTCCGATAAAAATAAAATAAAAAACTTACAGAAATACTACTTGTTTCACTTTGCTTTTCAGAAGAACTGGCAGTAACGTTTTCAATTGAAAATTGTAAATTTTGAATAGAATAATGGTCAGAAGAAAGTGGAAACTGAAAAGTAGGAGGTGGTGGTGATGGAAGAGGAGGAGAAGATGCTAACTAAAAAAGTTTAAATTTTTTCAAAATTTTGAAATTAATTTGAACAACAAAATAGGGGGTAATAAAAGGGCCTTGAAATTTCTATTTTGCTTATACTTCGTATCAATGTACTAATTTTTTGGTGTATATTTTATTTAAAATTAAAAAAAAATTCTAGTAGGAGGTATTATAACAAAAACACATTCAGAAAATAAATAAACAGGAAGGGAAATCTTCTCTCATTTACTTCATTTCAAGTCAAACCAATTGAGAGTTAAAAACGAAAACTGAAGAAAACATAAGAAGAAGAAGAGGATATATTGTCTACAACGTTCTCAGTTTTAGTTTGAGAGAGAAGTGTAAACGATTTGGGACTAAATAAAGAAAAGAAAAGATTACAAGCAAAAAATTTTGTTTCCTTTGCTTAAATTTTTTGCGCAGAAAAAATCGAATTGAGGAAAAATATTTTTAAGCTAAAGTGAATGATTGAAGAAAGAAAAAATGAAAAAAAAGAAAATAATTTTACTTTAGTTCGTTTATATTTTTTGTTGAGGAAAAACAGAAATAAATATTTATATGTAGTTAACTAAAGAGAGAGAAGATTATGTATGTAGTTATGTGATCATTTCATAAAGTTAACCCCTAATAGATCATTTATAATGATCTGAGAGGGGTGAGAGGAAAGAAGGACATATCTACTAATAAAATACTAATTTGGCCCAATTCCTTTACATTCCATTCAAAAAACAATTATGGTCAACCCAAAAAATATTTGGTATTTAATTGATATACCACATCTCCGCCCCTATTTTGAGTCTCAGACTTTTTCTTAAACAATGTGATAATTTTCTTTTGAATATGCCACAGGGAAATAGAAATTGTGGAAGGCTGACTATTGTTATGAAAAAATTAAAGTAAGAAAAATTTTAAG